ATGATAACGTTTTCTACAACAAGGGGACAAACCAAGAATTGAATTAGAAAATATCGATTAGCATATGAGTTTACCCATTTTTTTTTCTTATCCTACTTCTGTCTGCTGTTACTGTTATTATTAATGGATTATTTAATGAAACAGACAATTTAAATAATAAGAAACAAAGTAGTGTTTTATTTAAAGTATTTTTGAAATAAATGTATGAGAATTGTTGCTCGGCTATATCAAGCTCATGAATTTATTTATTTCTCAAGTCTTTGCAAAGTGGTTGCATTAAATCGCAACCTAGGAAACTATTTTAAATTATAATCATTGTATACCTGGATTCTTTCAGTGTATATATCAAAAACAAGTAAATGCTGTGCTGTGTGAAGATAACATCATATTTTGTTTGATGGATTGCACAAATCTTTTTGTTATGATTTTAAGTTGATATTTTCATACTTAATCATATTAATTTATGAATAAGGTACTTAATATAAAAATATTATTTGTTTTGGATGTAAGATGTTTTTTTTTCAATAATGCATTAATATTCATAAAAATACTATACTTTTTTTAGTTTCCAGTAATTTGAAGAAATAACTGCCAATACAATATTTTTATTTTTTTTTAATCTAAACATAATAATATTTTTTTTGTATTGTTACATTCGTGTCCAGCAATTATTTTTCAGCTCGACTTTTCGTTTGAACCAATGCTGTTCTTCTGTGTAACAGAAGTTATAGAACAACATTACTTTATCTATTTTTTATCTTTATTTATCTTATAAACTTTAGTACAGTAGTTTTTATTCATAAATCATATAAATTGAATGTAACACAAAAAATATTACAATGGCACAGTAATTATTTAAATAAAACCTAACCACATGAAGACTTTAATTAAGAAAAAAATATTTATTGAAAATTATTCAAACAATCTGACGAAGAAAGTAGTTAATTTATAATTATGTAAACAAAAACAGCAATCATTTTGTAAAACAAGTAAAAAAGATATAATAAAGTAAAATTTATTTTTTTCTTAATTCAAAAGATATAAAACATACATTTACTAATAACCTTTTGGTTCAATGTTTTCGATATAAAATCGGAAAAATACCATATCCTTATACACGATCGTAGTTAAACAACTGTTCTATCTGACAACTAATTTCTAGGTCGTTAAATTATCGTATTCTTAAGTTTTCTTAAGTATTAAGAATTCGTATTCGTATTCTTATGTTTTCTATTTGTGCAACTATCCTTGAAATTAAGTATTCCTGTACTCAGTTAAGTAACTCAATAGAACACTGAAATACATGTACAAGATATATTTTGGATACTATCGACAACAAAGTTTATTGAAGTTGTTGTGGTAAGAATGTTGAACATCTTTTAGATTACATGTAGGCCTCTATAGACTAATATTTTAAAATAGCACCAATCCTTAGTAACAAAAAAAAAAAATATGATTACACTCATACTTTAAAACAGCTCATAAATGAATTCGATTGTTTAAAAGTGAAAATAATAAGTAAGTCGTAATGACATTATTATTGAACTATGTTATATCCAGCACAAACGTATCGTTTATTTTTTTTAATTAATTATTTAATCAAAACAAAAACGTCAACTTATTTTTATTTAACCTAATTAGGAATGAAGTTAAAACTCATATACTATATAAATATATACATCATAAATATATTATACAAAATAAAAAAAAAATTGTCACACTTTAACTATTGTCTTATGGATAATTTAAGCAACCATTAAATCATAGAAACAATATAAACGGAGTATTAGATATAAAAATATACATAAAAAAATAATAACTTCAAGAGTATTGACCGATGCAACTAAATATATATCCTTAACGGTATTTCAATTAATGGTTAATTAGATATTAAATATGTGTTAGTAGAATTTATCTAGATGAGATTATCTTACTATGTTGATTAATTGAAACTTATTATTGTTTTAACTCATTTATAAGAAAAATTACTTAATCTTTTTTGTGCGGGTATTAATACTATTATATTTGCATTCAAAACAAAAGAACAAAGTATACAAATTATCACTTATAAGAGTCTCCACTTAACAGTGACCACTAAATTATGAGTAAAGATCAATCTACAACACTTACTATCTAGTTAATAATATTATTATAAAATATTGTTTACTGTGATATATTGTTAAAGCCAAAATAAATTAGAAAATGGTAGTAATTTTAGATAATAAACATTAAATTTACAATAGTAAATCGCAATAAAAATTAAATACTACATTTACCCTAATTAAATTCAAATTTCACAAAATAATGTACACCATGTGTATTTATTTGCTTTTTGAAAAGTCTATAAATTACATGATAAACTATGAAATAAAATTGTAACCAATTAATATTAATTAATAAATTAAATTTGTTAAATTATAGTAAACACATTATAAATTATTATCAACCGTATTTGTTTAGTCAACATTTTAATGGTAATAATAAAATATTTTGATGTACTTATAATTTCTTATATTAGGTATATTTTGCATCGTGTCATCAACATGTTTTTATTATTGTTAGAACATTTTATTTAAAGATTTTAAAAGTAGTTTGTGAATACATAAAATTAAAAAATCATGAATACTTATGTATTTCATTATAATAATATAATATATTATTATCATATATATAAGTTATAATTTTGAATAATTATAATTATAGTTGTTATCTAGAAAAACACGAATTGCTCGATTTAATCAATCTCGATTAGAACGCTGATTTTTTATGGCAATCTGTAAATATCTTATTATTAGTGGAGCTTTTAGGAAACATTAAAATTAAAATTCATATAATATTTTTAAACTTGATTGTTAATAGAAAAAAAAGATTTTATTACATAAAAACGAAAATAATGCATTACATTTTTTTTTTTATTAATGTTCGAAGAGACCTCCATTATTTGTAATACAGAGCTGAAGTTATTGGACCCAAGCGTTTTTAACATTTTCTAATGTCTTACGTAAAATATTTTGAATATTTTGTTCAATTTTGTCACGGAGATCAGCCAATGAACACAATGGATACACAAGATTTTTCAAATAACCCCATTAAAATGAATCCATTGGTGTTAAGTCGGGCGACCTAGGTGGCCAAAGCACTAGATTATTGAAATTTGAAACAATTAATTTTTTTGTTATAATTATTAAAAAACATATCTTGCTCTAACTTGATCAATTTTTATTCAATTTTAATATTTTTTTTGAACTGTTTTAAAAAATATGATCAAGAAAATGGCTATCTCAAAAATTGAAAATTCTTAAATGCATAATAAATTTTTTTTTGAATTTTTGAATTTTTAAAAAAAAAATTAATTTTATGCCATTCAATAAGAATTTCCATACTAAGTGTTGTAAAAAAAACCACGTTTAAATATATTCATTTCCCGTGGAGATATTAAGGGAGATACGGGACTTATGGGATACACTGTATATTAGTATAAAATAATGGTTGAGCTCAGTATTAAGGAAATATTTAACCAAAGAAATTAAACCATATTGACATAACGAAAATGGCTATAAATAATAGAAAAGTTTATAGTATATGAAAAATCCAATACCCTTTATATTATAATATATCTATACTACTACAACTACTCAGTAAGGACGATTTCGAAATCCAGTCCAGATTCAAAGGTTTAGTTGTGAAATGTTTCCGATGTACCTATAATCGTAGCTGTATGAGGTATATAGGTTTTACGCGTCATATCGTTCTGTTATTACGGCAAGGTTTAGATGAATTTATACTCGTATGTAATGCGCCAATTATACCTTTAAGACATGACGGCTGATAACAGATTTTTCGTTGATTTTGATTATTACCAATGCTGGATGTTGTTTACCGGATAATGGGTTGGGGGGTGGGCTGGATGAAAGGTCATGTCGTCTCGGTGACGGCGGTAGCACACGCCAGTCAAGAACAGCAGCAACTATGGGGAACCTGTGAGTGACAAACGATTCACGTCCGCCCTTACCGCACCGGCTAAATGCCACACGACGTAGTACGACTTGTAAAGGATTACGTTCATCCCCTCGTATACCCCAATGCCGGTTGGTCATTTCATATTATTATACGTCTTTTGCGCGTAAAATAATGTTTGATAATCTTTCATTGCACGCAAATGCGATCTTGAGATATTTGGCGGCAAACATTTTCAGAATTTCTCCTTGATCTGCACAGTCTGGTTGGAGCCAATTGGCGACCTAGTCCTGGAATGATGACGTGAACAAATCAATCACTGGCCATTTACAAACGATAAATATATATTATTATAAATATCTTTCGTATTTTTTCTCAAACTTTTCGTAAAACTTCAATGATTATAATTCGAATGATAGATGATTTTTTTTTCTACTTTTTGTTATAAATCAATTTTCGAATATAATGAAAACATAGTGATTTCAATAGCTCGCCGTATAGTACACAACTATAGTTTTGAAAATACAATGTATGCAACTGCTTAACACAAATAAACATTGTAAGAAATGAATAAATATTAATCTCTCAAGTCAAGAAATTTTTTTTTTTTTGTAAATATTTCCATTTCAGTTGAATATTATTCAATAATAACATATGTTACAAATCATTTTAACTATAATTTTTGACACACTTATTTTATAAAATAAATACAGTAGCTAAAAAAAAAATTAAATTATCAAATAGATTTAAAATACGTCTGTCCAATAATAATTGACGAACCGTTAACATTTATTTTATTTTAAATCGAGTATTCCATTAATTAGATCAAGTAATTTTATTTATGAAAAAATAATCAAAAAATATAAGAATTACATAGTAAAAACCAGTAGTACAATAAATAAAAAAAAACATAACGATAGAGAATTTAAATTTTTTCTTAAAACAATCAATATACTTAATTTAATATTGTATATTTTTTTAATGTGATATGTAAAAATATAAAAATACATTTATATTGCACGTTTCATGTTGATTTCAGTGACATGGTGATGGGTGAGGGCGAGGGAGATATGGAAGGAGGGGGTGGAAATGATGAGTGTGTCGAAGATGGCGACGAAGAGGTAGCAGCCATGATGGGTACACCTACAACATTTTGCGGATCTAATAAATGCAAGAAAATTAGAAGGCCTCTGCCACCTCGAGAGACATGGAAGAAGAAAATCGAATTCTTGTTGGCGGTAGTTGGATTCGCTGTTGATTTAGGCAATGTTTGGAGATTTCCATACATCTGTTATCAAAACGGTGGAGGTAATAATTATTGTATGGTTTTAAAATTTTTATAGTTATTTACTAAGAGTTTGTTAGTTTTTACCCAAAAATGGGATAAAAGTATTTTAAAAAAGATACTTATATATATTATGAACATATATAGTACATAGTATTATAGCATTAATGGTTTTAAGAAAAACTTTAGACAAAACTCCTAAAATCAATACCTGTTTACATTTTTGTAAATTTTGATTAAAATTAATTAAAATTTTTTAAACGATAAGGTTTTTTTAGTTCTAAATTTTAATTAATTCTTAAGTATTTAATTGAATCATATTTAAAATGGACACAGTTCTTTATTCAACTACCAGTATACATTTTGAATGATACACATGATTTTTAAATAACAGATTACATTTTTATTCTGAATTATGTGCTGTAGTATGAGATAGAAGTTTACGGCAACCGTGAAATTTTTGAAGCAATAAGTCTAAATATATATTTGTACCTTCGTGGTACGAAGCTTTCAAGAAAACTTTATGATAAAATATAAGTGTTGATTAACCTCTTTAAAATACTATTAAAGTTACTTTGAAACTCTAGGATCAAATTGTGCAACATATATTTTTATTTTATTTTTTAAACTAAGCTTGTTGAAACTAAAATTATTTTTCCTTTTTTATTATAAAAAACTAAAAATAAATGGCTTAATAATACAGTAATTAATTTTAATACATTTTGAAGTGTAATAAAAATAGGGTATATAACCTTACCTTATAACACAACGTTGTTTCTGATTTAATATTCAACTACATTCAATTAATTTATGAAATATTTACTCTCAATTTCATTTTATGAGTTTTTTTTAATTTTTCTTATAAACAATTTATAATTATTCAACGTTTGGCTCATAAATAAGTTCTTAGTTAAATAATTTAAAATGTTAACAACTAAGCAAACTAAACAAACTAAAAAAAAAAAATTAAAAATACATAAGTTTGAAGAAATAAATGTATGGATTACATTTTCTAAATTGCATAATAGTTTTCAAATATACGATAAACAATCAAGTATGATTGTATCCAGTGGTGTAGTAGAGGGTACAAACGGCGTGTACTCACCTCCTAATTTTATAATTATGCATGTACCCTCGACGAAAATCATGGTACGCAAGTTTTTATAGGTACTACACTAGTTGGATTCTGAATTATTTTAGGCATACACTAGTTCCTGAATATTTTTTGGTAATTACTATATCATACTAACATTCTTCTTCCCATTTTAACAGACTTAGGACTGTTTATGATCTATTTAGATCACAAGTATGGTTAAAAATGTTTTTATAGTTTTTTTTTTGTTTTTTAGTTTTTTTCCGTTAATTTTAATTTATATTATATAATGATTTTAAAATTTTTAATATTTTTTCATTTACCTATATGGCTATAATTATATTATATAATATGTATTTTTATACTTGATTTTTAATTTTTTTATATTTTTACCAACACAATTCTAATAATTTATATTTTAATGGAAAGAAACTAAAAAACAAAAAAAAAAAAACTATAAAAAACATTTTTAACCATACCTGTGGTCTAAATAAATCATAGACAGTCTTAAGTCTGTTAAAATGGGAAGGAAAATGTTAGTATAATGTAGTACTTACCAAAAAATATTTAGGAACTAGTGTAATACCTAAAATAATTCAGGACCCAAATAGTATAGTACCTATAAAAATCCGGGACCCAACTAGTGTAGTATCTAGAAAAATCCGGGATCCAACTCGTGTAGAATCTGAAAAAATCCGGAACCCAGCTAGTACACTACCTAAAATTAGCCTCTAATACTCTGAACCCAACTTCGTAAAGGAAAAAATTCTATGTAGGAAATTACAATATCTTTGATTTTCAGGTAAAAATTTTAATAGGTTATTAGTGTTGGAGTTTACACTTAATGATGATTCAGGTAAAAAGGTTATTCGTGTAGGAGTTTACATTTGGCCGTGATTTTATCTTGCGGGCGCCCTTGCCTCCTCGCCTTATGAGAAGCACTCCTCTCTTTTGTACTGCATTTTCTCACCAAAGTACTTATTAAACTCTTCTATTTATCATCTTACGTGTATTGTTAATGAAATCCCTACTTTTAACTACCCTTAAAATTATTAATCAAATCTCCATCCAGTTTTTTTTTTTTATTTCTTCATAGATTGTACTTCATTATTATTATTTTATATATAAATATTTATATTATTTTTAACACTTGTCTTGGGCTGAGGACCTTACTTTTATTAAAATAAAATAATTATTTACCATTAATAAAAAAAATATGTATTAAGAATATACATTATTAAGTTTAATAAAATATTTACTTAACCCTACAATATATTCCTGTATAGTTATGTTAATATGTATATTTTTTACTTGGTTGTTACTCTTATTTCTATAGCGAATTTAGAATTTATATTTCAAAAAATGTTTGTTTTAAGTCAATTACAAATTTTTAATACTTAACATTCACATGAAAATTTTTTAAAAATTAATGTCAGTATAATATATTTATTGACGTTTAATATTATACATAGAATAAGACTCAACATGAAACTTTTGGTTATTTTCAGAATTTGACTGTAAGTTTAACTACAGAAAATACAAAAATTAACTTTTTATTTTTTCAAAAACTTTTTTTGAAACAATATTAGTAATAAATTATGTACTGTACGTAATTATAAAATTATATTATTTTAAATTTTTTTTATTTTTTTTGAAACTCAATTGATTTCATCTCAATAAAATATTTTTAATTACCTACAACAATCTATTACATTTATATTCAACACTAAAATATATTTTTTGGTTTTCACTGATATAGCAATAATACAATTGTTTAAGTATTTTATAACTTTTATATTTTAAGCGTACTAAAAAATAACTTACAATATCGGATAGAAAATATAAAATCCTGAAAGTACTCTAAAGAGGTATTTTTTCAATTTTTTTTTATTTAATTTTGTAATTTTTATATAATTTTTTTCACGAGATATACTACAAGTTTTGTTAAAAAGCTCATATGTGATACTTGAATTACTTACTTTATTTACATTTTACATACCAGCCATGGTTGGCGTATTGCAATGTCAACTTGTTAAGTGAATGTGTCTGAAGTCTTTGTCAAGTCTAGTCAATATATCCGAGCCCTGGATAATTTTACTCAAAAAGTAAATTTTTATAATGTAAATATATTGATTGATGTTTGGCATCACAAAAGGAAATCTTTGCTGAATAGACAGGCCGACACTGACATTAACCGAATGATAAGTTATAATATATTGATGTTATTTTAATGCATATTCCAACAAAACTATTTCTAGACAATATAGAGGACGGACTACATACATGTTTAGAACTATATTTTATGATTAATCTTAGAATGTACACTACCGAAGTGGTGTAGTTGTGAAATCAATTTACTCTGTGTTTCCCGATGCGATAAACTGTATCCATTAACTCAACCCCATTACATTTAAAAGGAAATAATCGTATTCCTATTGCTGTTTTTCCATTGTAACGAAAATATTTTTATATATAAATATTAATATGGTTCAAAGTTCAAAAGACTAAATGTATTTTTAAAGTGTAATCTATACGTTAAAAATGTATATCAAAATCGGTTCTTGTTGGTAACTTTATTTAATCTGTTGTCACAAATACAAAACGTTGAAATTGCAGACTATAGAGAAAAAAAAAATATTGCAGAATAATTATGTAGACCATGTATAATTAATATTTAGTATGTAAATTTATAATACATTTAGTAGTTCTATCATCTTTGAGAAAAATAACCAATTGCAGAATGTTAATAAATATTTTCTAAATTACAAATCAAAATATTATCATTAGATTTATTATGTAACAAAGTAATATAAAAATATTAATCAAAAAGTAAACAAAACTAGCATTTAAGTTTTAAATTTAAGTATTATTTTTATTTTAAGGTAAAAAAAAGCATTGTTAATGTATTATATTTTATTATACAAGTGAATGTTATTATTCTAATATTTGTATTAATTATTATTTTTCCATCAATTCAAATTCTAGTAGTTCAAAATATCAAAATAATCAACATTTTAGAGTTTTATAATACAATTAATAAACACAGTGAGATTATATTATACTTGTCTACTAAACTGTACATCGAATGACTCACTAAAATTTGATTATACACAAATAATTATGATTAATCTTTAATATATATATATATATCTTTAATTAAAGAGTGGTAATAATTTTCATAATATTTTATAATAAATACAAAGACAAATTATACTATTACTGTAATTATTAAATGTATATTTTACATCGCCTATAATGAGATGTAATAGTAATATTATAGCATTGTTAAAATGTCTAAAATAAAATTATTTTAATAAAAGTGTTATTTAACATGATTTTAGGTGCATTTCTTATACCATATGTGGTGATGTTGGTATTCGGTGGATTGCCTTTGTTTTACATGGAATTGGCATTGGGACAGTTTCATCGTTGTGGATGTCTCACAGTATGGAAGAAGATTTGCCCTGCTCTTAAAGGTAGGGTATTTAAATGTCCATGTCCCCTTATCAAAAACAACTCGAGGAATGCTTTGTGAGCGAACAGTAAAGGAATGTTCTAAAACGAAACAATTTACTTGAGGAATTATCAGTTTTGTAATAGGGAAGCAGTGTACGTCTGAAATTGAAGGAGGGGAAAAAATAAAAAGGTTTCAAAAATCGAAAATACTTAAAACGAATATCCGGTCTTTTATGATAATTGGTAGACGATCTGGTGTATTGGCCGTTTTTTTTTTTTTATTCTCTTGTTTTTCACTGCATTAACAGTTACTGCACAAAAGAACGACTAGGAAATTAAAATATAAAGGCGGATAGAGAAAAAAAAATAGATGGGAGTTAAGAGAGGATGAAAAACAATTGATTTCTGAGAGCATTTTCAAGTCCACGACAAACATTGAGCCTTTGAATTATACATAAATGCAAAAACTGAGAACAAATAAACAAATAAAACTATAGAGCTTATTTAAAATGATGCAATGGTAAGTAATAAATCATTGGCCAATAAGGAAATATTATATGGTTGCTTCAAATAGTTTGTTACTTTACTATTGTTTAAATTCGTATCGTTTATATCTACAATATTCCAAACAAGTTTTTTTCTCGATAGCCATTGTTCAGAGCAGCATAAAAGAAAAATATCCTTTTCTTAAGATATTTTATAAAATAGAGACTTGAATAATTGATGAACCTATCTAATCGTGAAGTAAAACTAAAAAAAATGTAAGGTTGATATTGTACAAATATACGTAGTAAAGTTTATTTACAATAAAATTATTGGTTATTGTGTGATTATAATATTTAGTCTAGCGTAATATATTTTATTTTTATTATGTCTTAAAATACTTTAAGTTGTTCATTGTTTAATTTATAATCTATCTTTTTTACCCATCGTATGCAATGAACAACTTAACAATGATTAATGAGTATAATATGTTGTTACGTAAGATCATAACCGGACATTTAAATAAAAATTATTAACACATACAACTATATTAATATATAATTATGTGCTGAAATATTATAATTGAAACAAAATTTAACTTAGCTACCAATAAATACATTATAACTACTTTAAATTTATTTAGATGGTGATCAATTATAAAAATGTACGTATAATTTTATATTGTTACCGAACACTATAACCTTATGTTTATCGAAAATTAAATGCTTTTTGATATGCTTACAAGCAAATATGATAGAAGGAAAAGTTTTTCAACGTGCGATAGTTGTAATGCAAGCTAAAATTAACTTCGTTTTGAATCAACACGGATAGTTTTGTATTATGTGCAGATGAAAAGTCGATATTTAAACATTTCTTAAAAAAAGAAATCGAACTGCGGTTTAAAAACGAGGTTTGACCTTATGCAATTTACCATTGTCAATATTGACGTTCCCTCTATTACTGTTTTGGGGGTGTCTGCTACGCCATCGTGCCATCACCATACTCGATCGACTGTTGTTATACGTTATGACAAATATTTACACGCTATCATCTAAGCCGATATTGTAACGTTAGTCAAAACGAGTCATTGTCTGTGTAGAAAAATATACACATTTATAGAATAAAAAAAAAAATCCATGAAATACATAATTAAACGAGGGTAAACATTTTTTTCAAAACGTAGTTAATACTCCATTTGTAAACCGTTGTCATTTTATTTAAGTTTTTATTTCTTAAAAGGGAATATATTTTATTTCATAAATTTTGAAATCACTTGGATATCCATTTTATTACTGTACATCATTATATATAGCACTTGCCTATACGTACGTGATTTTTACTGTATTATTGGCAATGGCGCAAACGTGCATTGTTGGTAGCACGAGACAAAATACTGATTTGGGCAATAATGAAAGGTCGGAAAAAATTGCCATGGTACGTAATAGTACAAGTTTTACCGATTATTTGTATCATCAATTTTTGTTTTTATTCTCGCTGTTTTCGTATCAAATGATTTGATTTCTTCAGAACCGTGTCAGATATAAATACATATATATATATATATATATATATATATATATATATATCCTGTAACAATCGGAATTAAAACACTTTTCTATTGTGTTTCAGTGCTTGTACAGTTTTTTTGATTTGGTAGAATAAAGTATTGCTTAATTTTCATTAACGTTTTAACATTTCCAAACTCTTTTATGCTTACAGATGTATAGAATGGAATAACTAGCTGCAGTTTAATCTATGGATTAAACATTATTATAACTTATAGCACGTGTAAATATCATATTTATATGATCATGTGAATGGATTATTGATAAAATTCAAAAGCGGTTTCAAGGGGAGGGCCTAAGGGCCTCGTTTCCTCTCAGCCTGTATTTCTAAAAATGTTATATTGTTAAAAAAAATTACAGACGCAAAAACAAAAGAAAACATAATATTATATTATCGACTATTATAGTTAATATAAATATATAATATAATATACAATAATTAAAAATATAGAAGACTGGAATTTGTGTTGTAAAAATTGTTGTTTTGTATTTATTATTAACTTTTGTAAAAATTATAATTTAGCCCCAACCCCTCCCGAACCAAGTCCCTGGAACCACCGATAAAATTTTTATTTAAAATGTAGAGTATTAGAATATTGATTTAAATTTTAAATTAATATTCTCAAAAGAAAAATCTGGAAAATTTGAATAGGTAAATAATGTTAAATATAATGTTTTAAGAATTTTTTTAACAGTGATTAGGAAAAGCAATGTGAATTAAAAAACATTAGCACAAGTTCGGGTTTATTATTGTTAATTTACAGATATTTTTTTAAAAAAAGGTGCCTATTAATGAAGGACAAAATGAATAACATAAATTGATTCATTTACCGAAAATCATAATATCCGAAACATTTTTTTCTTATAGTTTTGTTCTAAATCGGCATTCGTATCATCATTCAAGTTCATTTGTATATATATATATATATATATATGTATATATTACATCGTACACTGTAGTATAGTCGTCCATTAGTTGCACCTTGGTTCTTTTGAGCGTATTCAAATTTTCAAAAACATGAACAATACTATTTGTATACATATTTTTTTTTTTTTGTTCATAAAAATCAAAATTAAAACAACACTAAGAAAACCAGGTATTTTCGACTCAAAAAAAAAAAAAAGTTATTATATAATTTTTAACGTGACTATAACAAATAAGGTTATTAGCAGTGTAATAGTTTAAAATAAACAAGAAAACAATTTTAAAATTCGTTTTACAGTTATCATGTTATCTTATCACATTTTTTATTTTTGTTATTGTTGTTGTATACATTCTGAACACGTTGTTCACAGGGTGATTTGACTTCATATATTTTTGAAAAGAGTTAATAATTCACTTAAATATACATAATATTATATTACCGTATTAAACGATTTAATTAACAGTAATAAAATATTAGATACACGATCTACTACACACCAGAAGTTCATTATTTATGTAATTTCATGTATTGTTTTTTTAAATACCTTTTAACGTCTGGATTGTGTTATTTAACATGTGCATGTATATTAGACGAAATTTTTTGTTAATCTATAAAGGCCAAATATCCCTTACTCACTGATTGCTATTTCTCAAAAATTACTTAACCTACCAACTTAAAATTTTTGAACAGTCGTACCTCTAATGGATACTCTAAATATTCAATAAGAACGGATTTTTCGAAAATCACATTTTTAAGGGTCATAACAATTTTGGATTAGTTGCAAAAAATTTTTCTCTTTTTATGTTACCTAGCTAGGGTAATTTCGATTTTGATTATTATGTTTATTTAAAAAGCATCGATTAAAATATATTTATATTAATATAAAGTAAAAAATCAATAAAAATTATTAAAATTTGAATATAAGAATATTTTGTATTTTTTTCAACCTGAGATTTTTAGGTTAGGAATTTTTTTAATTTTTCTTATTTAAAATAGTAAAATATCTCCCGGGTGAGACCGTGTAATTCAGATAGTATAACTATAAAAACTGTTATAATTATAGTTATATTGGTAATGGAAATTCACGTATCTTTATATATTTTAAAAATTTATACACAATTATTTGAAAGGAAAATATTAAAAATAGCTCATTAGAAATCAAGATTACTAAATTCGTAAGTGTGGTCTTGTAAAATATGTTATGGGTAAAGTATGAAAATCGGGTAATGTACACATCACCCGGATAATGTGATCACTACCCATGCTTATTGGATAAAGTGTACATACGAGTATTTGTAAAACGTTTATTTTATAGTTACATTAACCGAGTAATTTGTACATTATCTACCTTTGAGCGAACAAAGTGTTTTCATAAAATAAAATACAACAATATATAAATAGTAGTTAATAAGATTAAATATAAATTGTACATTGTGATAAATCGTGTGCATTGATATTGTATAATAATTTTAAACTTCAGTATGGTGCTATCGGTTTTAAAGTTCACTTGTTCGGTTTATTAATGTTTGATCATTTATTTTTTTTTTTAAAAAAAACTTGTCTTCTTAAAAAATAAAATTTTATGACGGTTTTAATAAATTAATTAATGAAAATAATGAGAATTCGGTAAATTTAAGGAAATCAAAGTATTATAATATATTATATGATTAAAAATATTTATGAAAACTAAAGTCTGGCCGTTCTATCCGGCCGATTTCCTTCATTTTTTTTTTTTTAATGAAAGGTATTTAGACACAAATATGTCATCAATCATTGAAATTTACTCAACTCTCACCAACGGGGTTCTTCTCTGTATATTTCTTAAGGGACACATTCACTTAAGCAATTTGAATTCTCATAGCTCCTCTTCTAATGAATGGATCTTGATCGTTTCACTCTCAGAACACTCAGTGGATCAAGCTCTTTCTTTTGAGCAATTAACTGTTTAAATTCGTTGAGTTTGAGAAAAGTTATGTGTGCACTATCAACTTCTCTTTCAATTTTTTTCAAATACTGCATTCTCATTAGTTCTTACCTAGTGATATA